AGCCCCCGAAAGTCCAGAAAAGCAGGTAAGATGAGTAAGAATAGGGAGAGGAGGGTGGGAGCCTCTGCGTCAGGAGCGGAGGTATGTGTTGGTAGTAATGGGGTGAGGATGGCCGAGAGCCTTGGGGAAAAATGGCAACTTTTTGACATAGTCATTACAGAGCAGGAGAAGCGGCTCATAAGACTTCTTTGCTCAGTTTCTCCTTCCCTTTATCCTGTCTTCAAACCAATTTTGTATGTTGCTTTATTTAAAATGGCAGACTGCACAGTGAGACAGGACTTAGCTAGAATAAAACAGCATTAGAAATTGTGCATTTTTAAGTACTGTGTATACTCGCCATGCCATTTGACTGTCTTTTATTTTTCATTATTTTACACCTCACAGTGCCCAGGTTATAAGTGCTTTGGAGACTAGAGTGAAAGATGATAAATAAAACATTTATACTCTAAGCTGTAGACTAATTTGGTTAATCTCCAGGGCTACTATGTTTTAGATCCTGTGTAAATTAGAGGTAATTAGAAGAAACTTCTCTTTGGAAAAGAAGTTAGAATTGGTCTGATAAGACTGAGGCTGTATTAATGTGAACCATAGGCCTTTAAACCCACAGTTGACAAGGGACCAAACTTTCAACCTTACGTCTTTTTGGATGTGAGAGAATCTGTCAATAGGTTTTGCTCTTGCAATTTCAGAGTCAAAAATTAATGCTTACTCACAAGCTTATTTATTTATAGATTTAAAACGCTGTTCCCAACCAGCACTCCGCAGTCTCTAGCAGAAGGAAAAGAAAAGGTGCCAGTGCCTCAGCTGTTTCTTTACAAGTCTTTCAGCCATCAGTGTGTCTGTGGCAAGACTAATGCAGACGTGAACTAGAGTGTGTGTCAAAATCCCCTGACGGGCTTATTAAAACACAGTAGAACACAGATCTCTGGGTCCCTTCCCGCCGTCTCTGATTCCTAGATCTGGGGTGGACTTCAGAGTCTGCTGTTCTGACAAGTTCCCTGGTGATGCTGATGCTGCTGATCTGTGGTCCACTCTTTAACAGCCTCCGGTCCTGCAGGAATTTAAATTCAGCTGCAGCCTGGGTTGACTGCGGGAAGGGGGTGGTAGTTTAATGACCTCTTTGTGACTCAGTGTTTTCCTGTTCTGGAGTTGGGCAGCAGGGAGAAGGAGTCTGTGTTCATCCCAGGGACGGGGACCCTGAATAGCTGCCTCTTTTCCGGCCAGGCCAGCCTCGCCAGGTGGAGGCCACGGCCTGCTGATGGCGCATCACCCTCGCCATTCGGTCCCCCAGCCTCCAAACCAGGAAGCAGCTGGGTTTTCTCCTGACCCAAATCTCTGCCGCATCCTGGAGGTGGTCCCCATCCCAGGACAGTGGTGGTGTGAGGATGTGCCGTGGAGGCCCAGACACTCCTGGCAGCCGGCTGGTTGACGGGCAGTGGCCCCTGGGAGGGAGGCAGGAGAACTCGCTTCTACATCTGTGGGGACCTCATACTCCTTGGGTGACCTTGCACAAACTAGTTCTTGAGTCCCCGACTTTGACTACTTGTGTTGATAAAACACACCTCTCCCTTTCCCAACCCATGAAATGGCAGGAAAACAAAAACCCAGGCCTGGGGAGTGGCCTCTGGGGCATCTGTGAGTTGCTGTGTGAACTTGGAGTGCCTGAGGAGAAAGCTGCTATGTAAACACAATATATTATTAATAAAATGCCAAAAAATATCATCACACCCTTTGCTAATAATAGCTGCTTTAGGCTGTGGAAGCTGATCTGACACGAAAGCTCCCAGCAGTGGGGAAGGCAAGGAGACTCTGTTTTTTTTTTTTTTTAATTTGAAACACATTTAAAAGAAGATGAAAATAGGTTTTTAAAACATTTTTAAGCATATTCAAAAGTATATTCATGAAGAAGATATGAGGGAAGTTTTCTATAATTCAACTTTAATAAACCAAATCATCATTTTCTTTAGATTTTCATTACCCTTCAGAATTGCTTCACAATGTAGGTTATTCCATAGACATTTTGGTGGATATATCAGGAGTGTTTTTCCTCCTCCTATCAACATCGGTAAGTGGTTCGTGCCCCTTAGATTCCGTGGGAGGAGACAAGCAAATCAGGTAGTCATTACTGAATTAGTTAATAGTTACATCCCCTTTACAGTTGGATGAGGAACACCTGCTACTAGCTGCCATAGACACTGAGATCTAAAAATAGGATTCTTGCCCTTAAAGGATTTGTAGTGTAGTTTTGAAGCAAGGTATTATGTAAGGAGATTGTTGTATTCTTAGGACACATCTCCTTCAGCCAAGTAACCCACACCCGAATCCACCCTGTGCGTTGTGGAGGCCTGCTGGCAGACACCTGAGAGAGATCCTGAGGCGTCCCTGTTCCCCCAGAGGAGTGTGGGGCTGGAAGCTTCTCAAGGGTGTTGCAACAAACTGTCTGTAGAAGGTCTGGCACCCAAGTGGTGGCTGCCCTACCCACATCCCTGGGGGAGACAGCTGCTCCCTACACAGATATACTACGAGTCTCTTAGAAACCATAAGACCCCATCCTTTCCTTACCAGCTGGGATAACTGCTCCCTCCCTGCCTCTGTCCAGAGAGTTGTGGGTTTTTTTTAACCCAGAATGGAAGCTCTCTAAGGACTGGGCCTCCTCTGGCTCTGGGCAGCCACCCTCAGCCCTAGGGCACAGGGACTTGCCTGGGGAATGTTTAAACAAATAGGTGCCTGGATTCACCCCCAGAGATTCTGATAACATTGAACTGGGACAGTCTCAGGGCAACCGTTCAAACAAATCCCTTGGAGAGTGCAGGGTGCCATCAGGGTTGAGAAGCACTGAGGTGGTGGTTGATTTACCTGAAAGGGTGAATCCTCGAGTCTCTGCTAGTCACTCAGGGGGGTTTTAAATAGAGAAAAAAAATCACATCACAAATCTCATCTTGGAAGTTTACCCTGACTTTAGGCTCTTTTCCTCCTCTGATGGGAAGTCTCACAGTCCCATTTGCTTGTAGGTAGAAGTGGTCACTTCAGGTGTCGGGCACAGCTGGCGCACCACCACCTTCCCCAGGGCACAGCTGCAACTCAGGCCAGTTGCTTTGGAAGAGTCGATCCACAGACCTCTGGGATCCCTGGTCTTGCCCCAGCATCTTGTCACCAAAGGGCTTCCAGTGGGCAAACCCGGTTCCTTTGTGGCTCCCCTCTTGGCTGTGGCCCCTTCACCCTGATCGCCCTGCCGAGACCGTGCCAACCAGCCCGCAGCCCACAGCCTCTCGTTAGCACCCTTCACTCCTGCTGCCATGTCAGTGTGTTTTCTCTGCCGGGGTTATTTTTTTCTCCCCCTCGAGTGTGAGTTTCCCCGCTGGGCTCATTCCGAGGATGTATGGCACCCATGGCAGATACCCATTTGATTTGTAGGGCCAGGACTTCACTTGCTCAAGTCTGTACTGAACCCTCAGCTCATTCATTAACTCTTTTACATCCCTAGGTTCTTTTGAGGTTCCCCCCAGCCAGAATGATGCCTCCTTCCTGTCTGTGTTGTTGGGCGAATAAAACCTACAGCTACAGTGTGGATTAGGAGCCTACTGAGCAGACTCCAGCAGCCGTGTTAGGGGAACGTGTTTATCCACACGTGTGTTAGGGTTCCAAGTAGGTGCCATTTCAGTGCTGGCTGGGAAACTTCTGGCTGTTCTGTTAGTCCAGAGAAGGGAATCCCAGGTAGGAAAGAAAGGTTGATTTTATTTGACGGTGGAGGAAGAGGGCTGAGGAGGCCACTGAATGATCAGGATGGGACAGGAATCACCGCGAGCTACTTGCGGTCGTTCTGGCATCTTTCCCTTTTCTGTGTCTTTTCATTGTCGTTCGGTATTTTGACCCTTGTACTGTCATTTCCTCCTATCTGCTTTCGTATCCCATCTTCTCCTGTGAGTTGTTGTGTCCGGGGTGCCAGAGACAGCTCTGTGTCTGAGCCCCACAGGCTTCCTCGGCGCCCCCACACCTCACCCTTGGCCTCATCCCCACCTTGCTCCTGCCTTCTCCTGTACTGGCTGGCTTAGTTGATCTCATCCTAACTTCTCTCCCCTCATTTCTCTCTCAAGAATTGCTCCATCTTGGCCTAGCCAGGTTGTTCAGTTGGTTGGACATTGTCCTGTACATCAAAAGGTTTTCAGTTCCATCCCTGGTCAGGGCACATACCTAGGTTGAAGGTTTGATCCCTGGTTGGGGCATGTATGGTACACAACCAGTCAATGTTTCTTTCTCCCTTCTTTTTTCTCTAAAATCCTTAAGAAACATATCCTTGGGTGAGGGTTTAGAAAAAAAATAGAACTTTTGTCATGAAGACTCTGTCTTTTGTTATTAACAGATCATTCCTCTTTATCTGTGGGAAAATCCAGAGGTGTCTTATCACCAGACAGAGACATCCAGGGTAGACTTCTGTTTTTCTTTGTTTAAGCCAGCATTCATGGGTTGCTCTTTTATGCTCTGTGTCTTATCTGACTTCATCTTCAGGTAGAAAATGTTCCCATTTGGCAGGTGTGAAAATAGAGGTTAAAAGAAATCAGGTACTTGATCAAGATCAAACAACATGTTAAATGATGGAGCTTGGGATGTCTCGTACTAGAGCCTCCACTCTTTGCTCTTGAACTCTGCACCCTCCAGCTGGAGGAGGAATGAACTGTGTTCCCAGGCTGGGGTGTGGGGTGGGGGACTGGGGGAGTGGGATTTCACCGCCTGGGAGAGTTTTCCACGTCAGCATTCATGGGAAGCTGTGAGGTGATGCAGGGCAGTGAACCTCTTTCCCATGGTGATAAAATTCTGAATCTTTCTCTTAGAAAGGGTTCACTACCAATTCTGAGACTGTGGCTGGTCACATTGGGAATGTGGCAAATTATGATTGGGTCTCAGTGCCTGGGACTGCATCGTTGTCACTGTCAATATGTAAATCAGCAGAGTGGAGTTCTCTTAGTTAAGTTTCGTAATGTTTTATTTATTTATTTTTGCAGAGCCTGTGTCATCTTGGGAGTGATATTTCTTCTGTCATCCATCTGTATAGTGGTCAAGGCCATCCATGACCTCTCAACTAAGCTGCTGCCAGAAGTGGTAAGGTCCTTCTTTCTGAACAATCTATCCCTCCTGTGTTACCCTTTTTCACAGATTGAGTGGCGGAGGCTGGGCAGGTGGAGAGAGAATACGCACCATTGTAGGAGTCCCGAAGAGCTCACTGCAGAGTGTGAATGACTTGGGAGAGAGAAGCACTAGGCAAGATGAAAAGACTTCAGATAGTTGTGCCTGTGCTGGGTTCTGTGTCCTCCCCTTAGCTTTTTGATTATTTTTTAAAACAAGATGTCTTTTATGTAAAGAGAAATAGGCTGGTTTTTACATGGCCGCGTGACCCAGTCTGTGCTGTTGAATATTGTTCTGTGTGTCAACAGCTTAATGACTGTTGGCAATGAGAACCATTCCTTTCCTTTGCACCTCATACACAGATCTGTTCAGGTTTTTGTCACAGCTGACGTTCGAAGGCAGACATTGGAAGACACAATTTCATACTGAAGTGTGTCTTTGCTTTGTTCTCTGGGTGAGAAGCATCGCCTGCCCTCCGAGTCTATCCCCCATGCCGCTTTATGAATGCTGAGAAAAATGTTTTTTAGTCTCCTATCAGGCTATCTTCATATAAGACAGTGGCTTTATTTATTGGGAGATGAAGTTGCTGCCACCACCATGATTCTCTATGTACAAGGTGGGAGAAAAGTATGTTTACAGTTGTTTGTATGGAAAATAATTCAATAATTAGTGAATAATAATACAAGAATAAACTCTGTGTTTTGTGTCCTCACAATTGTAAACTTACTTTTGCACCACCTGGTACGAGTTGCATAGTGATTTAAATGCAGAAACCACATCCCGGACTGGATGTGACTGGATGTGAGCTCAGCTATGTGCACCGTCTTAATATGAGGCCTAAATTGTTAGACTTTTAATTTTACTTATAGGAAAGTATATGTTAATTCCTTTGGGGGTAACACATAACGTGCATGAGTGCGCACGTGTTTATGGGGAAGGTAAAAATGAAGCGGGACGTGGTGCTGCCTTTCACAGAGCTAGTAAAGCAGCTGCTTTAAGTGGCTCCTCCCCCACACTGAGAGTAGAGCCATTCCTTTGGTAACTAACTCAGCGGGATGGTAACTATTATTTATCATCACAGATGGAAAAGCCTGCTCCCTAATGTCTCAGGGACAGGAAGAAAAGATGGATATCAGCGAAGGAATGCACCTACCTGTGGTTTTTAGTCTCGTTGAGCAAAACTGGTCCAAGCAAATACTACTATTTATTATACTCTGTGCTCACCGTCCCACTATTGTGTGGTTTACCCCGATCCTCCTGGTTACCTAAGATCTGGGCTCTTCCGTCCTTTTCCTCCATCAGACACGCTATTCTGTCACAATCTGAAACTTACGAGATGTGTAGTCGGGAAAGTACTAAATGGGATTAATTAAGGTGTCGGTCTGATGGCGTGCTTGCTTTTTACAGGGTACAGAAATCCAGCTCCACTCTAAGTATTATTTATTGGTGGGAATTTTCAGCATAAGGCTAGTTGACACACCCATTTATTCAGGCATTACAAATTAATTTCCAGCAGGACTGACTTGACGTGGAGCGTTTAGCTGTGCTCACGCACCCTTGCGGAGGCCTCCTTGTTTCCCCCCGGAGAGCTGAACAGTTCTTCACTGGGAACAGTCTCACATCCTGTGGTGCACATACTCCTACAAAACAAAGCTTACCAACTTGAGTTCCACTTTGAGGTATGAATGTCTAATGCCCTGCCTCAGATGGGGGCCAGAGAGGGTTAAGAACTTCACGATTTTGCCCAAGACTGGACCTGTCCTTGGAGAAGTCACACCCACTGCATCTTTTATCAGTCTTCGCGTGAGATTTAAAAATCATACCCATTCGTGGTGACCCCTTCAGACCTCTGAAGGTTTTTTGTGTTTCTTTTTAAGCCTTCAGTGTTATGGAAAGGTAACAGAGGTGCCTTCAAGCTGGGTGAGCTCCCTTATCCAGAGGGGAAGCCTTCTAATCAGCTGAGTGGCACATGGGGCCAGGTAAATGCTGCTAGGCTGGAGCCAATGGTAGTTTAATACTGGGTCTTTGATTCCCTGTGTCTGCTCTAGAAATCTGGGCAAGCCAGTAAGTAGGCTATAGCCAGACCACCAACCCATCTCCGAACCCCTGCTGAAATTCAGAAGGAGTGTTTGTCCACAGTGCCTCATCTAAATTGGGAGCCACAGTCTCAGATGCCCACCAAAGCCAGTCCAAAACCAGGAGAAATTGCCTGGGTCTATGCACCTAGAGAGTGTGTGCTCAGGTGAGGGGTCCGGCCCCCTAGTGGAGTTGCCCTGTGGGAATGTGAACCTGGGGGTTGTCAGAGCTCATGAGTTTTTAAGAGAAAGTGAAAACCTGCCTTCAGTGTGAAACAAATTGACAACTCTGGTTGGGAGTGGGCGGCCAGCTTCACACAGGCCCCATAAAGCGTGTCCTCTGGCTGCCGTGGCCTGTGGTGGTTGAAGTCAGAGAGACTGGTGTTTAGGGCCCAGATACAGTGCACTTAGGTCAGAGTTTCAGCTTCACCCTTGCCCTTAACAGAATTGCCTTTGCACATGTGATGTATGTCAAGTTGTTACTGCAGGTCCGTCAGAAGCAGCGTTTTCCCTACCCTGGTTCTGTTCCCCCAGCAGCTTTCTTTTTCATGTCAGCTGCGTAGTTCTCAGAGAGGGTAATTGCAAGAATGGGGAAGTTTTGATTAAGAAAGCCATGCAGTTAGGAATTTCCTAAGCGTAAAGCTGGTTGGCTCTGAGCCAGCCTTGGTGGTGTCCCCTGCCCCTTGCTGGCCTTGTACTAGAACAGTCTGGCCAGCTCAGCTCTTGGGGAGCCCTAGGAACCTGTGGAGTCTGCTGCAAGGGCTGCGTAACAACAGTGTGAGTCTGGTCCCTCGCAACCTGTGCACAGTCCCATTGGATCACTAATGAAATGAATCCCGAAGGCGCTTTCCTGGAAGCACCGTATGAACCGCGGCTCTGAAGTCAGGCAGAGGGGGCAGTGCCGCAAGTGTGGTATTAGTGCTTGTCTTGTGTTTGTGGCTGGTTTTGGAAAGAGCACCATCCTCTTCCTGGTTTTCTTCCCGGCACACCCTGTTCTGGTAAGTAGGGACGAGGGGTACGCTTCACCTTTTTGGGAGGACATGGGGCTTTGAAAGGCGAAGTGATCTTCCTGAGGCCATCAGCTGGCTGGTGGCAGAGCCTGGATTTGAACTCTTTTCTCCTAGTCCAGGTCTGTCTGGGGTCCTGGTAGTGTGGTCCTGCTCTTCTTCTTTGGCTTTTCAGACCTGGACCTCCTGGTTTCTCTTCTTTTCTGATTTTTATTTTTGTTTGTTGTGTTTTTTACATTTCTTTAGTTTTTCTATCTTCTCATACTTAGCAGTGGGTGCTGCCAAGGGCCATCCTATAGGGAGGGTGTCCAGACCCCTAGGTGGCCCCATCCGTGGCCCCTCAGGCTACTTCTGCTGCCTCAACCCTTCACCACGCAGCCCCCTGCCCTCTGGGCCACTGGCCAGCGTGTGCCTCCATTGCTTTGTCTCTTGAACCACCCACAGGTGGGAGAAGTGAGCACAGTGGGAAATGCAGTGGGACAAGCATGACGTAAGGGAATCGTGGGACACATGGAATCCAATGGAAGGGAGGCTTCAGGGAAGCTGCTCAGCAGGTGGACGTGACGAGGACGTGGTGGCCGGCCTGTGTGAGACGGGACTCCCTCTCTGCCTCTCTCGCCCCCGTGACCACCACAGGCCAGTCACCTCGTCTTCTGGACCCTGGGCCTCCTGATATGTAAAATGGAGGCTATACTTAGGTCAGAGGTTTATAATAAGGGTCAAATTAGTAATTTAATTAAAATAACTGTCATTAGAAGACAGTGCTAACTATGCTCTTAACATTCTGTTTTTTTTTTTTTTATATTTCTGAATTGCTAATCAAAATTACTCTGATCTGTGGTCTGAGGTAGTTGCAGCTTGGGTCCCTTTTGAAGTAGGAGGTATTTAACAGCCGGAAATGAGGGAGGGTGGTGGTGCTCCCAGCAAGCCTTTGGGGCCAGGCGAGCAGTTGCACAGAGAAGCTCCCCACCCAGTTGGCTTGTCATCCTCCGGTCCTCTGAACCAGTGCCTCATCCTGGGAGTGAGTTTCTAAATGCTGCCTCAGTACCTGGTGAGTACCCCCGAGGCAGTGCAGCCTTGAGCGGAAGGATTGGGAGCTGCAGTCAGGCAGAAGGATCTCAACTCTGTTACCTCCTAACTGGAGAAAGCTGGGGCAGGTTGTTTCACCTTTTTCTGCCTCACGTTCTTTGTAAAATGGCAATAATTATGGCACCTTCTTTGTCAGGTTGTTAAGCAAACAAAATAAAAAAGTATATAAGTAATGTGCTTAAGACGTAACTACTGAATAAACGTTGGTTGATATTATTGGACTAGAGAAGCTTCTGAGGAAGTTGGCAGGCCTTTTGGTGCCTTTAGTTCTGGAAGCTGAGACTCTATTGCACTGTCTGGGAAATGTCTTCAGGGACATCATTCTCAGCGAAGATTGGGTAATGCTGTAGGTTTCTTCTTGGGCAATAACCTATAAATCCCAGGCCCACCATCAGCAATAGTGAGAGTCATCTTCCAGTGTGGCATGCTGTCAAACAACTCTAAATTTAATTTGGGAGCTGTGTCGACTTCAACAAAATAATAATCACACACAGTCAAAGCCCTCCACACCCCCTGCTGACATCTCCCCAGCACTAGGCAAAGAAAGGCAGAAATCATCGTCATTCTAACAGTGGGGCCCACCCTTGTTACTTCAGGTAGAATAATTCTGTTACTTAAGCAAGGTGGACCTCTTTATTCATCCATCCTAGAGTCAAGGACCTACCTGCTTCTAAACAGAAGAGAACTGAGCACTGATGAAAGAAGATTATTATTGGCTTGAGTGAGTTCAAGGAGAATAGAGTCCAGAAATAGGTCTATGCATATCTGGCTAAGCGGTTTGCAACAAAGGTACCAAGGTAGTAGT